TGAAACATTTCTTTGGCCTTCCCCACAAGTCTCCTTTTGTTTCTAATGTAATTTTGGGGGCATTTAATCAACGTTTTAAGTAGTTTTAGGCTCACAGCAAAACTGAGTGTGCACTGCAGAGTTCCCTCCACCCTCCACCCTCACCCCCCCTGAACACATACCCACAACTTCTCTATCAACATCTAGCTCCAAGGCGGAAAGTTTCTTACAACTTACATTGGTTAGGAACCTAGTTTGACACCTCATTATCACCCCAAGTCCACGGTTTACATTAGGGTTCACCCTTGGTGCTGTATATTCTATAGGTTTGGACGCTTGTATCACACCTATAGACACCATTGTAGTATCTCACAGAATAGTTCCATGGCCCTAAATCTTTTACATGATAATTATTCATCTTTCCTTCTTTTCTACACACATTATTTCGAAGGGAAATTTTGCCTTTCTCATTCTCCTCCCACCTGCTGCCACCACACCTATGTTCCCCTGGGGATGGGTGGTATCTGAGCCCCCACCCCACCCCACCGCAAGGTTACCAAGGGGCAGCTTCACACTCCCGGCCACCAGCCTCCCTTCAGAGTGTGCTGATTCCTCTGAATGTGTGAGCGACTAACAGCCCTTAAGCGGAGCTTAGGTATTTCCATCTTGAAAATGGGTGAGAGCTGACCCTACCCCATCTTTTGAATAGGTACACTCTCAAGAAGTACAGAAACAAACTTGAAGAGAGTTACTACCTGCCAGACACATCTCACTCTAGACATATCTCCTAAGGGTAGCTTCTGTTTTTTCTTCTTTCTCCCTCCCTTCCCTTCATAGTATATTATCTCAAAATTCCAAGATTTTTACCCTCAAAGTGGTTTTCCTGGCAGAAATGCGCTGGCCAGAATTTATGTGGGTGGCTGGTTGAGGCTGGGCATTTGCAATTTGGCACTTACAATGTAGTAGTTAGAGAGAGAGAGAGAGAGAGAGAGAGAGAGAGAGAGAGAATGAATTACTCGCTTCCCAGGTACCTAGCATGTATCTAGCAAGAGGCTGATTTCATCTTCTTTGTGGTTATATATGAGCATATCTTGTAGGGAAAAAATCCTCTCAGCCTTTCTAGGATATCCAATAAACACTCCTAGCACCATCTAAAAGGTGGGTGTAAAATAACTTTTCATAACAAAACAAATCATCTGATAACACAAGAGAAGGATTAGTGAGAGACTTTGCTGAAATTCCAACTGGCTTTCCTCGATGCAGTTCCCCATCTTTGCCCAGATAAAGATTATGGTTGCCAAGGAAACGGGACCAGAGAGAGAAAAAGACAGAAACTTTGTCTCACTTGGTTTCCCCCAGACTCACAAAGCAAGCCGCGCTGTAAGCAGAGCTGGACGAGATTATGGTAGATTTATAATTTACTTAGTCAAATTGCTTTTAATTCATAGTCATGCCTCCATGGACATTTTTTTCCCTCTGAAAGTTAGGTCTTGGACTTACTTGTCCAATGGCTGACAAATAACAGAGCTTTAAAATTCATTGTCTATGATTAAACTCAAATGCAGGACAGATGGCTTGTCTGAGTATGTGTCAGACAGGCGAAGCACTTAAGATTTGTGACAGGCAAGACCAGGAATTAACTGCTAAGTTTTTGCATTTATTCATACATTCATGTGCACCATGAATACGACTGTAAAACTTACATAAGTGTTCTCACTTTATTCAAAATATTCCCAAACAAAGCAACTGCTCTCCTTTTGGCAAACCAGATGTCCTAATCTCAACCCCATTAACTCAAAATCCATTGTTCTCATATTATTTACGTTGTGTACACCGCACTTCACTCTGACATTCAGGATGAAAACAATGTCCTTCTGAAAATGCAGCTTGCCCAGAACCCACAATGTTGGTCCCCACTTGATTTTTATGAACCTTTTTATTGAAATATTTAATTATTTTATTGAACAAACATTTGCCTGTGGAAATAAAGACCAACCAAATGAGAAGAGGCCAAAGCTATTTATCCAGAGCTTGTTAGATCAGGGGAGTCAGCCACTGTCACTTGCATTTTGGCAGAAACTCAAAGGCCTGCAGAGGAGTGGTAAAGCTTTATAACAGAATAAAGGGAAGGTTTTGGATATGCCCTGACTAGAGGCTGAAGGCTCAGGGAAGCTGTAGGTGGCCTAACCAGAAGCATGCATCCTGTGTTAAGGTGGGGGGATGGGGTGGGAAGGGGAGGAGCGGGCATTATTGATTTTCTCTGCTCTGTCCTAAGTTGGAAGTAAGGACAAAAATGAAGGAAGCTGTCGGTTGTTAATCAAGTCCTGGCTATTTGGAGTCAGTTGTTACAGGGCTTACTGTTTGGCTTCCTGGACCCGTTGCCAGAGATAGTGGCCTGACTTCCTGAATAAAGGCTTGCAGATAGCAGATTGGCTTCCTAGACTGGCTACTGTAGAATATGGGTTGGTTTCCTGGGTTGGCTGCTACAGATTATGGGTCAGAATGCTATTTTTATTATGCTCCGGCCATTGTCTGTTTGTATAATCAGCCTCTCAGTCTATAGCCATTGTACAAACAGAAAAGCAAGGCATGAGTGTACAGCTCAATGAACTATCAAGTGTAATGACCACCCACGGGCCCCCAATTCCCCACAATCTTTTTTTCAGAAATCTATTGCCAAAGAACATTGTCACAGCGAAGACACCTTCAGTGTTTTTCTTAGTCCTCATGTCCAGAAGTGGACCTCACCAGCCTCTTTGAACCTTCTCACGAGGTCAAGTCCTTTCCAACATGCAGACACAGCAGCCTTAGGCTTCCCACAGTCAGGTTCAGCCCCATGACTCACCTTCCTCCACATTCCTAGGTCAAAAGGAGCAGTTCAGAGAGCGAGCTTGAAATCTAGCCTCCGCCACTCCCTTAGGCAAGTTAGATAATTTCTCAAAACCTGTTTCTTCATCTCAAATTGGAAATAATAATGGTGCCTGCTCTCAGAGGGTGGTTGTAAGGATGAAATTGGCCGTGGGCATGAAACCTTTAACAATATCCCCTGCATGGGAGAGGGCTTCCGATGTAGATTTATTAAATGTATTTCTCCCAACAGGAAGCATGTATGACAGCTGAAAATACTAAGGATCTACTACAATGCTAGGCACTGAAGGTCTCTTAAACTTAAGATATTAAATCTGTTATATTATTAAATCTATAAAAAATCAGCAGCAGCCTTATTGATGAGCAAGTCGAGGCTCAGAGCTGTTCAGGCTCCCAGCACTTCCCTCCATGTGCTATGTGGGTTAAATGAACTAATTGTAAACTATGCTCTTAGTGTAGACCCCAGCACATCACAGACCAATGACTGGATCAGCCAGGCTATTGTTTAAAAGATCCTTTGATTATGCACTGTTAACACACCCTGTGCAGTTGCCAGACCGATGTCTGTTTGATCCGTACTAACAAAATCACATTTTTGTGTGGGGTAGCAACATGCCCCCCAAAGAGTGCACGGCTCCCTGCCCTCCCTAATTTCTTTGGAAATTCATGTGACCCAGTTTTGGCCACGGAGAGGTCACTGTCTCACAGGTGATGCTTTTGGGAAAACTTACTGTCCCAAGAAGAAAGAAGAGCTTAATCTGGCACATGCCTTTTTCCCTTTGTCCCTATTTTGCCACTTGGAAAGCACCTGGAATAGGATGAGGTATAGGTGCCCCCCTCAAAGACCATGTACAGGAGAGCAGAGCAGGAGGTTAGGAAAGCGCCTGACCCCTGATGGACTTGTAGGGGTGCCACCCCAGCCCTGGACTGCCAACCTCCATTTTTACCACTGTGGTTAAACCTCCATGGCCAAATTTCTATTACATTCAGCCCAAGGCAATCCCAACAAATGCAGTCACCTGTGGGGGTCATCTGAATGTGTAAATAAAATGCAATTCCCAAATTAATGAAATTAAGAATTCTTTTCTCCAATCTGTCTCCATGTCCCAACTGAATTGATAAGTCCAAAGGATAAAAGGTTGGTTATCACATATCACTACAGGAATCACTGTCAACCCTTCAGAGGCTTGACGCTTTTTTTGAATATCCAAGCCCCATGGGTTGACTCCTAAGGGTTCACTTCCCCTCTTCCTTGTCATATGGTGGTGCACGGTATCATGAACAGGGTTTCTATGGGTCATCAGCATTGTGTGCTTGGGAGCTAAGGACTCAGACACTCGCTGTCCAAAGTTGGCTCTGGACCAGCCTGCCCAGCGTGGAACTGAATGATTCCTCTGTAAACCTTGAGGCATCTGCTCTGGCATCTTGGTCAAAGTCCAATGGTTGTAATTGCATTCTGCCTGCTTGTGAGCTCTCCTAGACTTCTAAGTAGGTGTATTTTCTATACAAAAAAAAAAAAGATTATGCCCAACATTGCTCTGTACATTAAACAAGGGATACCACCCCAGTGATAACAGATCATCTTGCTGAGACATGAGGCCATCATGGGTGGGAAGGGGGTGAGGCTTCATCTGGTTTTTCTTTGAGGCACCTGGGATAGCGGCCTTCGACTTGGGAGAAGCTAAGGGCATCAGAGGGTTAAAGTTGTGTCTTTCTGTGCCATTCCAGAGGAATAATATCCATTCATTTCTACTCTCTTTCAATGATTTCTAAGGAAGTGTGAGTTGAAAAGAGGACTGAACTTCCCTTCTCACCACTTTTCTATCAAAATCCAACCCACACGAGCACAAAAACTAACTTTCTTCAGGTGTGAAATATGTTGTCTTCATACTGCATGACACGTGCCTGTTTCTTTTCTAAGCTATGAATAACCCAATAACTGAAGTATTTTTAGTTTGCTTAAAAAACTACTCTAAAAGGTGAAAAATTTGTTTACTGTGCAAAAATGTTTTCATAAATGTATGTCACTAAATGGTGAAATAAGACATTCAGAAAATATTTAAAATGATTGTCCTTTTGATGAAACCACAGAAGGTCCAAGTTTTCAATGCCTAAAATTATGTATTAAAAAAGAAAAAGACATACACACACAATGAAGAGAAAATCTCTAATAATTTATTTGACCTTCAGTTTCACATTGTGAAAAAAAAAAATAAGTTTTACAAAACCTCAAAACCATAGTAGTAGCAAACAAATACATGTGAACATGAAAACTTTACTTCTTTGACTTACACAGAGTTTTGTACGTGAACCACATATTCAATAGCCAAGAGAGGGATATTATTCAGCTCTAATCACTCTTATTCAGACAGGTGTCAAGCCCAGAGAAAAGGGGGCTACACAATTATACCAGAAGTGGAAGGCTGCCCTTTGTTATCCGTTTCCACAGCAACCAGTCCATAGAATAAGAAGAACCTTCTCTGTCTTATGCCAAGTTTTTTGTGTGCACTGTGCTGTGAATTGTATTTGCTTCAAAGCATGGGACGTTTCACAGGGCAAGAATGGTCAAGTAGTGAGCCCAAATGCCCACATCAATTCAAAAAGCGGGAGTCCAGAAACTTCCCTGCGGGCTGGGGGCCCACCCTGACCATGGCTCCCTCTGGCTCACACACAGTAATTAACAGAGGATTCAAGGACAGACCACAACTTTGAAACAGCTGCAGAAAACTCACCCGGCTTTCAGAAGCCAGTGACACACACTCATCTCGGCAGATTTGCATCATAAACTACAGAGCTGCAACTGCTACAATATAACACCGACTATGCCGTCAGGGCACAATTAGACATTTGCATTGCTTAGAACAAATCTAGGAATGAGGGACAGACTGCTGGAAAAGACTGATCTTTTTTATTCCATCGGCTCATTTTTTTTTTGGTCCAACTATAGCCCACTTACTCATAGCATGGACGGACATGGACAATTTAGCCTAAAATATTCAGGTGGAGAGAAATGTTAAGGATTTATCTGTTGTTAGAGACACACACACTCACAATGTAAAAGGTTTGCATCAGCCTTAAACCCTATTTTCTAAAATACAGTAATGTGAAAAACATTGACAAAAGCAGTGCGAGTTGCAAACGTTGGTCTTCCCCAGACGCCTCTGGGGAAGCACCTACTTGAATCTAGCACTAATACCTATCACGGCACAGTTTTAGTAAACAAGCACTCGAACTAGGAAAGAATGTATTCACAACTGACTCCCAAGCATCCTGGAAAAACCTCTCATCAGGGGCCACTGCTGACAGATCTTTGGTGTGTCCAGGCCAACCTGGGTTCCTTTTGTGCACCAAAGAGTTGTTTTACAGCCTTACCTAAGGGCAAGCACTAAGGTATACCTTTGCACCAATTTGAACGTCATCTTGGAGAACTTTTAGCATTTGCCCAATCGGACAGCAAGAATAGAGAACAATGAGTCCAGGCCAAGGACATCTAGTGAGTGAACTGATTTACTCAATGATTCTTGTTTTTCCCACTCACTGCAGCTGTGGCAAAGCATGCGAATAGAGTAATAAATAAATAAATAAACTTTGGACAATGCCTTCACCTGTGCCCTATATACAGAATGATTCCCCAGCATTTTCCAGGATTTCAGGATATTAAACGAAGAAAGACTGCAAAGCGATTTGGTCCTTTCCAATTTTCGGTAGCTGAGACTGAATTGGGTAAAACAGACAGGAAAGAGAAAGGCAGAAGGAAGCCTCCCTTCACCCCATCAGCCATCAGCATGACCACAGCCTAGGAAACCCCATTAAAGTGGGTGAGTCTAAGAAAAGTGACCTCCATGCGTCCTCTATCTCTAGGATGTAATTTACATTTCTGTCTTGTAACCCTTCCCTGTCCTGACATTTGCAAAATCCCCCCTCCCAACCCACCCTCCAGTTAAAGTCCAATTGTCACTCAAAAGTTTTCATTCTGTGCAGCAAAGCACAACAGCCACAAAAAGTGCAAAACACACAACCATTCACACACGTCCATACACGTGAAGACAACTGTAAGCATTGTTTCAGCATGCAGGCATCAACAATAAATAGCTAAATCTATCACGAACATCTTAACAGCCAAGGGAAAGCTTAAAGTCCCTTATAAATAGAAAAGAACATCCACCAAATGGCTACCCACAAGCTCCCCATTGTTCAGCGACCTTCCTGGGGAGCACAGCCCCTCAGAAATTAGTGGTGAATCCAGTGGTCCTGGCTCTGCAGCTCCCCTTCTGGCCCCACGACTGGGTTTTCACTCTCCAACAGCAGCTGGTGTGGAGGCTTCAAGCTTGCTCCTCAGAGAGAGGTGACAACCATTTCAAATTTTACACATAAATGGTGGAGCCCATGGAAATCAAGTGCTGAATATGGTACAGCAAGGGAAAAGGTCCGGCTTTTCTCTCTTTTAAGGGGCTGATTAACGCTGACATTAATCCACAATTACAAGACAAGGACTAGATCACAGGTTCATTCATTCATATTTAAACCATGTGCTATTTGCACTGAAAATCCCACCCCACCCCCACCCCTTTCCTTCATGTCCAGTTCCATCATTTACAAGGTGCAGCAGATTGTAATGGAGTTTGATAGCAACTTCTTTTTCTTCTTCCTCTTTGTTAACGTGACCTCTCCAGAGCAGAAATATCATTTGTCTCACTAAGTGATGGAGTGAGCTGAAAAAGAGAAAAAGGAAAAGAAGTGTTAGTAGCCCCAAAACCTGAAAGAAAAAGCAATCAGCTCAGGATAGAGCTGATCAGCATTGCTTCCAAAGGTCTTAACTAGTCGTCCAGTAGCAACTGTGCAAATATTTAAAGCGTTTCCTTTAAGTCACACGTATGTGTGCACACAGGTGGCTGGCTCAAGAAAAATAATGGTGCCCACAGACAGTTCACTTCTTGCCTAAAGATATATGTGTTCAAATTCAAACCTATACGTGCTGCAATGAAGTGCCATTTTCTGCTTCCACCATTCACAATTCCTTTCCATGGTTTACACAGAGCAAAGTGCTCACCAGTGGGTGGAAAGAGATTTCTGCACAGACCCTCCTTGGCCCATTTACCAGAAAGGATTCAAATGAAATGTGAATCCTTACACCATCCAGGAGGCAGACATATTAACCCTCTTATTTAATGCAACTCTGCTATTCATTAATACAGAAATCAGCCTCGCTTCCTTTCATGTGACAGCATACCAGGCCTCAACAGCCTAAGGCTGGAGTTTATCCTCAGAGTTCATCAGTCCACACTTGGGAGACACAGCTATGGTGTGCAGTGTGGTTATGGACAGAACCTACCAACATCAGATGAGAATATAAATTCTAGGCCCCATCACCAGGAGGCACACACACTCCCCGGCTGGCCCTCCTCACACGACTCACCCTTCCCATTGGGAGACGTGTAATTTTATACAGGGAGACGCAGAAGGCATTTGTCTCTTACACACTCGCGCTATCTGTTCACGAAGCACATTTTCAGTCCTCGTGTAGAAATCTGCTTCCCTATGGCTAGAACTCTGAGCGTAGACAAAGGGAATTCAGGAGGGGCCACTCATTACTTGCACTGAATTCTTCTCGCTTTTGTATGTTCAGAAGTCTGATTCATTTCATTAGTTGTTTCTTTTGGCAGTTTCGCTGCAGTGATTCAAGCTTTCAAGGCATTCCTTAGACTACGGTGTCATCCCCCAACCCCACCTCCTTGTAAACTATACATCAACATTAGGCCAAAAGAATGTATCTTGTAAGAATAAGAAATTTCAAGATGTTGCCTATTCAAAGTCAAAAGAAAAAAAATAAAACACCAAAAAGGGGGTGGGGGTAAAGATGGAGGCAATAACTCCAAAAGGGAAGCAAAGAAACAAAGCCAATCAAAACCCAAATGCTGTCAGGTTGGGACTACACAGCACCAGGAAAATGCAGAGTCATCAAAAGGAATATCCTTTTGTCTTCCCTCCCACTGACAGAGCAGCCGGAGACAGTTAAAACCTCTTTGGTTTTCCAGCCAGGGAAACTTTTTAACAATGTACTAATTCACTTAGCACCTGCATTTGGAGACCCGAGCTGTCACACAGAGATGTTTGTGTAATTTAGAAGTGATACCTACACAGCACTTCTTTTAAGTCACTCCATCTAGCTCACGTTTTCTCGCTATCTCGTAGTAAACTTTAGAAATTTAAACCAAATCCAGTGATTTAAACTACAGTGTCATCCCCCAGCCCCACCTCCTGGTTGCCTATCAGAGACTGCAGGCCTGCTTTGATCAGGCTCACACCACCCCAAAGGAAGGGAAGGCGAACCTGGTCCTGTCAAGTTTTGTTGCTGCATTTGACGCTGGCTGGTAGCACCAAGGGCAGCGAGGATGTTGTTTCTCGTATAACCTAACACTTTATTGGCTCTGTTTCAAAGGGACCGGAAGCGTGTGATTAGGTTCAAATGCCCTGGATAGGGGGAATTCAAGTGTTTGCCAACATACTCTGGGCTGAGAAAAGAGGCACCAAAAAATGAAGTATAAAGATGAGAAGCAGATAATAATCAAAGAAACCTCATTTTTCCACCACACACGAAGAATTCCAATTCTACTGCAAGCTGAAGTTCAAATTGAAGGGCGAAAAAAAAAAACAAACCTAGGAATATTGAACACTTAAGACAAGCTGAGCACTGGGCTAAGTCATTTTGCCTTTCCTTTCCTCATTTATCAATTCACCCAAGTCTGAATTGAGATATGTCTTAAAGGTAGCATAACTCAAATCACTCAATTGACAGGGGGGCAAGTGGAAGTCCAGTAAGGTCCCACACTCCACGACTTAGAATTAGCATCACATAGGAGGTCTCTTCCTGCCTCGATTTCCTTATGTTGCTCAAAAGATGCCAGACAGTGTACCAATACCAGTTTGATGTACCGCTGCCATCATTGGCAATTTTTCTGGCTCTTCTATACAAATAGAGTCAGTTCTGGACTAACACCCAACTTAGTGGGCTGTTAATTGATGCTTTTGCCTAGGAGGTTCTTTAAACCTGCTTTTGAGTTGAGTCATACATTCATATCGCAAATGAAATAACCACCTCCAGACCATTTGTTTATTCAGGATTACTAAGATGCCAGCAAGGCTGCAAAAACCAGTTTGGTGTGCAATGATGTTCAGAAGGTTTCTGACTGTTCCTGCTCTTTTGGAGGAGCTTTATTCCAAGAAAACATTATAGCACTAGGCACTACTCACTGTAATAGGCTGGAGAAGATAGCAGAAAAAATGAAAGGAAAAAATACAAAGACTAAATGTGAAAGTAAGGTCAGTTTTTGAATCTTTTAAAAACAGTCATAAGAGATGAGAACAAAGACAACTGCATTAAGACTTCTCTATGCTCAGCTTGCCATGACCCTTAGATTTCCTTTTTGCATTTGAAGGTCCCCTTCAAAGGTGTGAAACTTACTAGGGAAAACAGAGACATGTTTCCAAGTAATGAGTTAGTGTTCACTGTAGTTCCTCCAAAGCTGAGATTTTCTTCTCTTATTATTAGTACTGAGCCCGTGAATCACCAAACAAATCGACACATTCCATGTGCTCGGTGCTACACTTAGACATGCTCAAGTGATTCCTGAGGCCAGTCCTAAGAATGCTTAACAGCAGCAAAGCGGCCATTAGCTCTGCGAACACTGAACTGTGTAGACCTATTAATTATTTGGGCCGGGAGTATTATATACTCTTAAGTACACAGGACAACCATTATGTACTCAGATATATGACACAGAAACACAACTTTTGTTAGCCTTGACAATGGGGCCAGCCTGACTGATTAACTCTGAAAGGCTTGCATATGGGCACTTTCTCTCCATGGCTCGGTGTATCCACACATCAGACACATTTATCCAATGCAGGTGCAACTTTTTACAACGACTGCCCTACATTTCCTTCTAAAGTTAATAAATGCCCTAAAGGGGGCCTTTTTGGAGGAAAAAATTTAATAAGCTAATAAATCATTTTAGGGAGAATAAACTAGGGATAAATGTAAGCACTCACTTTCTTAAACCCTTCTTCATTCCAGAGAGAGTTCCCCAGGAAACTAAATTTGAATATCAACAAACACCTCCCGGGGTGATACCCAGCTGAAGCTGAAGTCTATAGAGTGGCAGCTCAGCATGATGCTCAAGGGCTTCTACTCTGGGTTGATTTCTTGACCAAGGCTACCACCTGCCAAGCTCTATGACCTTGGGCTACTTACTTGACCTCTGTGTGCATCAGCTTTTTTTCATCTATAAAGTGCTCTAGTAATATCTCACAAGATTGTTGTAAGGGTTAAATGAAATGACCCACGTGAAACACACAGCCCAGCCCCAGGCACAGAGGGAGGGCTCAGGAGCCATTAGGGAGCTTTAACACAGATCAGGGACTCTCATACTTGGCTCTGCATTAGAATCATTGCAAAACTGTCCAAAAATACTTATGCCCGGGCCCCACCCAGACCAAATGAAACCCAGTCTCTGGAATGGGCAGTTTTTGCAAAACTCCTCAGGAGAGTCTGTGAAAGTGTTGAACCACCGGCTTCTATGAAGGTAGAGGAGGAGAGTATTGCAACTGGGGGTCGATACAAGTGTTTAAATTCTGGGGGTCTCAGGTCTATTACTTTAATAGTTTCTGTGGTGCTTGTACAGCATAGGCTCTAAGGATCATGTCTCACTCTACATAGGAATTTACACAGCTGGCTTAATTACATGCACACTTCTATAGACAGCTCAACTGACTTCTTACCTCATGCTCACTTTCTTTTGGAAGTGAGGTTTACGAAGGCAGGTGTTTCCAGGTGCTGACAAATGCGGTAGGAATCAGCGAGTATGGGACTGTGGTTATGCTGTTCCACACATCTAGTGTCGGATCATAGCAGTCCAAAGTTTTGCATCGCTGAATGCCAAAATAGCCTCCTACCACGTAGAGTTTGTTTCCGGAGGCCACAGCGTGACAGCTCATGCGCTTTGCCGTCACATCTCCCACTTTGGTCCACTGGTAAGTCTCACTGTTGAATTTGTAAGCAGAGCAAGCGGAGAACTCTGTGTCTCCCCCCATAATGAAAATCTGGTTGCCCAGCACAGCTGCTGCTGTGTAACGCCAGGGCTGGGGACAGGTGGCTGGTACCGTCCACCTGTTTTCACATTGATCATAACACTGAACCTTGGGGAGCTTGTCATGACTGACGCTGGTACCTCCGAAAGCAAACAACTTGAGTTTGGCACTCACTACTGCGGCATTGCTAACACCTTCTCGGAGTGGGGCCACCATGGTCCATTTGTTGGTTGTGGGGTCATAATGTTCTACTTGCTTTAGAGAGACCGAGGGGGAAGCCGGGAGGCAGCCGGTTGCAGCTGTGTGGCCCCCAACCACATACAGGCAGTGCTTCAGTTCAGCAGAGCCATGGCCAAACCTGGCCACCAGCATGGGGGCGGCTTTGGACCACTCTTCATGCAGGGTATCGTACACCCAGACATCTTTCGAGACTCCATTCTCAGACCCTCGTCCCCCAGTAATGTACACTTTGCAGCCAATCGCACATGCACTGAACTCTTTCCTTGGACTGGGAATGTCCGCCTTGGGAATGATTTCTTTGGCCTTCTGGTCGACCAGATACAGTTTGTCACACATGAAAGTCTGTCCTCCCAAGAGGAACAGGGCATGGCCAGTTTTCCGAGGCCGGGCACAGAGGCTGGTCACCACTCCGTCGTTCTGCAGGATTTTCAGTTTGCACCTGATGGCCTCTTCCACGATCTCCTTGCTTTTTCTCTGCTTGGTGATGAGTTCCTCCATGGCCACATTCTCCATGAGATAGATGGCTGGCAGGAGAGCCAGCCTCACAGTCTGCAGCAGCTCTGGGAGGTAGCAGTAGCGCTTCTTCAGGTCATAGCTGATCCAGTTAATTGCAGACTCGTACACAAGCCTTTCATCTTCTGTCTCCAGCTCTTCACTGGACAAGAGCTGCACTACCATGTCCTGGGGCAGCTGGAGGAAATCTTCATTCTTCCTAATGGTTTGAAAGTTGCTGAGACACATTCTCCAGGAGAGTTCGTAGAGTTTCGTGCACTGGTGAGCATCGGACAGCAGCAACATGCCCAGGCAGTTGGTGGGATGCAGGTTTTTTTCCAGGAACTCTGCACATGCATCCCGGATGTCTTGAAACTCTAGCATGTCACCAGCTTCCAGGAGCGATTCTGCATTTTCTTCGTTGATGATGACCCGGGAGGAATAGGCGTAGTCAAGAAGCAGCTCTAAGACTTCCGGGTGGATGGAGTTGTCGAAGTTGACTTCGCTGTCCTGGCTCTCTTTCAGGCCGCCACTGAACATGGCTTCAAAGTAGCGGCTGCACGCTGCCAGCACTGCCCGGTGACATGGGAAGGTCCTGTTTCCAGCATGGAGAAGGACATCAGTAAAGAGGCGCTGCTGGCGCAAAAGGTTCAAGTGAGTGAGGACACTGTCAGCGTAGGAAGACTTGTGAAACAGATAGATGTTAATGGAGCCGCTGCTGGCCCGGGACTTGCTGTTCTCATGCACACTGACTGACATTTTGTTTCCACTCCTAAAAAAAAAACAAAACAAAGCCATTGAAGGTGATGCTCCCTATGTTCCGAACAGCTGCACAAAAGCAACAATGAGTCTGGACTGAGAAAACAACAAGGAAAACAGTAGCCCTGCTGCTTACTGCTCTAAATGGTGAGACAACTACCTATAAGGAAAGGCATTCACTGGAATACTGGTGAGCCATTTCAGCGGAACACTTAAAAAAAAAATTCCTGCTCAAAAGCAGGTTCGTCTTGGAAAACCTGATTGCCAACTTTCAGAATATTGAAGTCCTTGAGAATGTAAGTCAGCAAAAGTCAAGAGGAGCTAAGTCTCATTCTCACAGCTCTCTGTCCTTGTCCAGCTGATTCACTGCAGGTCACTTAAAATGCCAGGCCTCCAGCTCTCGTAACGCCACGAAGGGCCTGGCTTTAATACCCTATGCAACATAAAGCTATGTGTAAAACAAACACCTACTAATTAATTCCATTAAGGATTTCTGTGCTAAGATCCTGTCTCCCTGCATATAGAGTAATAGAAAATGGAACATTAAAATCACAGGCTTCCACCAACTCCGGCAATGATCGATATTTATTTTACACATCACAGATCATTTCTAACCAGACAGCTCCGCTGCTACAGAGTCCTGAGAGTCCCAATATAAACATTACCATATATTGATCAGCAGGCTTTAGAGAACACAGAATAGCTTTTGGCACAATCACTACTCATCTTTCTTGCTCTGGATACTTTCCAAAATGAGGATTTGAGCAGATAAAAGGAGTGTTTTGAGTAGTATGCTCATGAGTGCAATTTTTCTGTTCTTCCTGCTTTCTATCAATTCTTGGAAAAACAGTTGCAAGAACAAAGGATCTCCATCCCCCTCTTTTCATTCGTGTGTCACCAGGACCATTCTTGTATATCTGCATGCACTGGCACCTGCATGTAGGGAGTTCACAATGCAAACACTGCTTTATCTAAACAAAAAGGTAGGGGTGTGTGTGTTGCCAGTCATTGTTAATTTAGGGCCACACGAGATTAGCTGACTGAAGTGCTTTCCTCAGTATCTAAATTGAAGTGATAGCAGACTTAATACTATCTTTGGCATTATTCAATGAGAAAACTGTGGGCTAAATATATAGGAATGCCTATCATCCATCTTCCAGAATTCAATCATAAGCTTCTGTTTCTTTTTAACTCAGTCCTTTCTGTTACTTCAAAGAAATAAAGCCTTCTACTACCTGCCTGTCAAAGGACTTCTAAGGAAGTTGTTTACCCCAGGAAGGAAACAGTATCTGTTCCAAACACAGAACAGCCAGTCCTTAAAACCCAGCAGAAACCCATGTCCTCCTTTTCTTTCCATCATTCAGATATTTATTTTTAAGTTATACCTGGGAATTATTAAGAAAGGTAAAGAAGTGATTTACCACATTCAAGGAATAGATACTAAACTGCCCTGTACTTGCCTGACCTGCCAGTTGCTCCCACACAAAACAACAAAGCAGGTGTCTAACTTGCCTTTGACTGGGAGGCCACATACCATTAGGTGATGCAACTTGTTTTCCTTTATTTTTGGAATGTAACATTTTGTTATGAGTAAACAGGGCTTAGTGGAAGAAAGTAAGCAACAAAGTCCCAAGGTTCTGGCCTTAGGAAGGCTTTACAAAACACCCACTGGTCTCCATAGTAACTGAGAAATGACAACAGGAGAAGGGTCAAGCTTCACACCCCCCCCCCAAGCTAAGCCTCCACAGTCCATTGCATTGTAACCAATGTCCAACGTGCAGGAGAAACATAGACAGGAGCCTATGTGAATGCACCAGGTTCCCCAAGTATTAAAACATGGACCAGCATCCCTGATGCTCTAGTACTGTGGTTGTCATTTGAATCAGTCTATTCAATCTGCAGTACTTTGTGGGGGATCTTAAGTCAAAACTTAAAAAAAGAATATACATATACATATTCCCATGCCTAACATATACACTTGTAAAACTTTAAAATGAATAGCTACACTTTGTTTTAGTTAATGTTCCCAAAATAGGCTCAAAAGCTGTGCCTGTACACTGAGGCGGAATCACACCAACCCAGAATGACACCAACCCAGAATGTGCTTCCCTGAGCATTAGATTCTGGATGGTGTAAAACAAACACTCACAACTAGGCTTGCACTTAAGAAAACAGTTTGTTTAGAAGACCTTAGGATAGAGTATCTGCATCTCTCTGCATCCTGTTTAATCCCAGCATTTCCAGGTTGGGCCATAAAGCCAGAAGGAAGAGCCTAGTCTATCCTCTGGGAGACCATCCAGAGGAAGAAGCATGTCACAACCAAAATACAATCTTGCAGCAATATTTGGTTAAAATAAAAAGGGAAATTGGCAATCCAAGGAAAATGACTTGCTTTCTAGTTTAAAATTATGCAAACATCAATATATCAGCAGAAGTCATTTATTTATACAGCGGCTAAACACACCTTCAACATAAAAATGAATCATCCTCCTGGCATTTTTCAAGCCCCCAGAGAAATAACATTTACATGCCAAGAGGCCAAAAAATGCACACTTATACTTAACCTGCCCTACAAAGAAGGCTGAGAAAAGGGCTGCTATTACCAGGAACATCAAAAGGGCTTCTACAGTTACAGTAACTCCAGTTCACGTAAAGCTTCTAATACAGGTCTCTGCCTCCAATACTTAGCATCCCCTCACACTTTTCCAGATTTTGAGACTGATCGAGGTGCAACCAAAGGATAAAGTCGGCGTACTTTCTCGAGAATTGGTGCTATGGATAACAATGGCACAGTATAAAGCCCCTTTAACCAGGAAAGCATTTGCCATGCAATGCAGTCCTCTTGAACACTTGCACCACTCTACACGCGGGCTAAGCCCGTGAGGAGGGCGACACCAACCTGCGTGCCAAACAAGTTCAATGGTTCATCTCCACCCCGCCCACCAATTCCGATCTTCGGAACCACTACAGTAACACCAAACCCGAAGTAATTGCACGACAAGCCCATTTTTCTGAAGCCGGATTTCATTCATTCCTCAAACACATTTCGCCGCCATGCATGTGCTCTCAGGAGGGGGTGTCTGCGCGTGGCCCCAACCGTCCCCGGAGCCGGGTAGGGTGAAACGTGGGCCAACAATTCTGCGCTCTCCGTTCCAGAGGCTGCGAGGCAGCAAGACACACACTCTCAGGAAAGCGCCGCTTCCCGCAGAGAAGTTGCTCGCCCGTCCCCTGGCTCTGCTCTCCACTTCCAAGCTGCTGGCCCGGGTGGTGAGGGAAAGCCCCTCCGCCCAAGTCCGCTTGAGTGGACCCGCAGCGGCGGGCACCGAGGTCTCTGCCTCACGAACAGCTCCCCCACCACCCCCACCCTCCCCCACGACCCCCGCGCCTGGGTCGGAGTTTCAGGCCCCGGTAGACGCGGAACCCTGGCGAACACAGTCCCGCAGGCCAAGCGGCCCCCGAAACGCGCGGCGTCCGCAACAGGTCCGGGGCCGCGGGGGAAACTTACAGCGGTGGCGACCGGCCTCCACGCACGACCAGCTGGGTTTCTGCCGGGGTCACCGAGCCGGGAGGCGGCGAAGCGGACGTCTCAGCACCGGGGAGCGGCGGCCACTGCCCGGGCGAAAGGAGCGCGCACGGGGCGCGGGGCAGAGAGAGGAGCGCGCCCTGGGCGCCGGCTCGCCGGGCGGCCGCTGCCGCTGGCCTTGGCCTCGCCTGGGGCTCGCGCCGCGGACGGTGTGCCCGCGGCCGGCGGAGCGTCTCCCGGAGCGCGTCCTGGGAGAGGCTGGAGAGCCGGCGGCTCCAGGCGCCGCGCGAGGAGGCGGGCGGTGCACTCGGGGGAGGGAGCTTGAAAGCGCCGTGCGCGCCGGCAGCCGCCTGGCGTCTCCACTCGGTCTCCGCAGCGCCACCGCCGCGCCGCCTCCTCCCCGGCTGCCGGAGCAGTCTGAGCCCGGCTGCCGAGCGCCGGGCTATAAACGGCGCGGCAGGGAGGAGGAGGGAGGAGGAGGGAGGGGGAGGGAGGGGGGGAGGGGATCGCGTATGCAAAGAGAGTGACACGGGGAGGCGGGGAGGGGGGCGGGCAGCGCGTGAAAGCCGCCGGCGCGGAGGTGGCGGGGGGGGGGGGAGGAAAAGCTCTGGGGAAGAGCGTGTCGGCGAGTTGGTCGTGAGAGGAAGCGGGGGAGGGGACTCGGGGCGTGCAGACAGACAAAGCGGACGCCACTGGCAGATGCCGCCCTCTGGGACCGGGAACCAAACAAGTTTCCCGGGGCCGGAGCGGCAGCGCTCCTCCAGCCCCGCCGGGGTAACGGATCGCCGCGCCACCGAGGGACCCTCAACAGGGAGCGCAGCTCCTGCAGTGCGCTCCGCAAGGCCAGAGCCTGGAGGATGCCTAGAAAAGGGTGGCAAGGGGCGAGCTGGGTGACCGCGGAATGCGCCCTGGGCGCGCGCTCCCCGCGCGGGGTGAAACACCTGGAGGGCGCACAGAGGCTGGGGAGGACAGCGAGTTGGGACCCTCCGGGGATACCGCAGGTTGGCGAGGCCAGGTCAGACGGTTTCTCGTTGGCTAGGGGCCAGACAGACTTGATCCCCGGGCACTTCTCCGTGCCACACCCCCCCACTCCCCCACTCCAGCCCTGGCGGATGCGGCACCCGCGGCCGGACTCTGCCCCGCGCCCTCCCGCGCGGGCCCCCGCCGGCCGCTGTCCCGCAGGGCGGACCACGTGCTTCGCAGCCAATCGCCGCAGCCGCTTGATTCAAAGGGAACTGCTCAAAGGAGCGGCCACGCCGCCTCCTCTCCGTAAAGATAATGCCCAGTGGCTGGGCCCAGCCTCTCTGTCACCGCCGGGTTGTGTTACTTTGAGTTCGCAAAGGAATCACCCGGCACACACGTATCTGAAGCGCCGCGTGTCACAAGAAAGGGAAGCGATTCGAAAAATGATCTCGCATGGCGATCATTATTACGAAACCCATTTTTGATCTTTGCACTAAGAGCTTGTCTTTCCACTAAGGGCGAAACAGCCTGTTTGTTTTTATAGGGTATTTGGGATAAAATCTATGCATGAACTCTAGAGACTACCGGTCCAGCCCTGTAGTGTGATAGATTAGAAAAGCGAGGCCAAAAAATGTGAGTCGTCCGCTTCGAGGTCACACAGCCAATTTAGCAGCGACCCAGCTCTGCAGTTCTAGTAGGGATCCACGCCGGAGTTTCCTCCAGCTACCACTCCTCCCAGCTTTCTTTTAAATAGCAGGCGCAGAAGTGGTTAGAACAAGCTAAGGAGGATCTGCTTGACAGTCCCAGAGTCCAGAGGTGGCTGAAACTCACTGTGTAGGTTCTTTATTCTAATCCCACTTTTCTTTACCCGCGGTCCCTCCGGGTGTCGGCCCTGAGAAATTTCGCTCCTTGCAAACAAAGAAAAACAGTGCCCTCTGAAGTCCTTTGTTAGCATTAACTCGTCAGCCTCACCGTGAGCCTAACAAATCTGTTTCGTATTTGAATTTTTTATGTCGAGTCTCCACTTGAGGCTGCTTCACAAAGTCGGAGGCGGCTGGATCAATTTACGGTAAGAACCACCACGTGCAGATTCTGGGACCCTCAGGCAGAGAGAGGAGTCCTGTGAGACTCTGTTCCATAAGAAAAGGTGGATAAAATGAGCGAAGACCAAAGGAGAGGGAACCCTGTAGACACCAGGAAAGATGCAGAAGAAATGAGATGTGGGAATGTGCTCTGTGGCCCCTCCGTGTCTGAACAGCGTGTCCTATCCTGTGGCAAGGTGGAGGGGAAGCGGATGGGGCAGCCTCACCGGCTTCTGGGTTGTAGATCAAAAGGATGTACCTTGGTTTTGAAGACCATATGTTAATGTCCTGCTTTCGGGGAATATTCAATTTCAATTAAGAAATGAACACTTTTCTCATTAAGAATTACTTCCTTCTTACTTCAGTCACCCAACCTACCTAGAGCTGTAGAGAGGTGACCCTGCCTAGAAATAAAACACTTATATAAACACATCTGTATGATTGGCTGGGGATTTCACCACCGGGAGCCATGGAGCTAGGAACAGGTAATCCGTTTCTGTGGCATCTTTACCACCTGGAAACGGCAGTGTCCTTTACCAAGGGGAGAGCAAAGTTTACTTCTCTTAACGAATAGCTTGAGTAAGCAGGCAGGGCTGGGAAGGACTGCAATCCTCTGGCTATTGTGTCATCATCCACTGGGGACATTTTACTGTGTCCATTCTACCCAATGTCACCTCCTCTCTAGGCTTTAAGAGAAGGCCAAAAAAGAGTTGTAACTAGGAAAATCTTGAAGTGTTTTCAGTGACCATAAACATTTGCATCATCTTCTTCAAGGAGATAAGCAACATGAGGCAGGGAAAATAAATTAGCATTTGGAGATTATAAAAGCTGGAAACCATTTTCTTGCTGAGACATAGGAGCTCTACTTGCCTTTGGGGGAGATGTGTGTGAGCTGCTGGTGAACACCAGCAAACTGCACACTGATTGGCTCCACCCAACGTATGAAAGGTTTTCAGTCCTGTGGGCAGTTACTAATGTCTAGATCACAACTGACAAGTAATTTGCAAGTCAGCAGCTTCAGCTCTGCTCTTCCTCCAGCAGCTCTCAGCCACCCCAAAGGTAATTCTTATCACTTCTTCTACAGGAAGAAAAGGCCAACAAGTCTTGTATCTTTTCAGGAAGAACTCTCTAGACAAGCCTGTGATCAGAGTGGATGATAGACAGAAGTAGCTTTCTGAGCCACAAACAACTCAGGAAATGCTTCTGGGTACCACGGCCACCACCTTCTGACCAGTCCCCTAGGCCCCTGGGAGCTGGTCTTCGCTTCTGCCTTATGACACCAAACCAAGGTCTCATTTTTAATGCTGTTAAGAAGCGGTGCCCAAGGCTTTGGCCTTGTTATCTGCCTGAACAGCGTTATTTTGTTGGGCCTCAAAATAAGCAGCATGGGGTTAAATGTATTAGCTGCCTTCAAACCTAATTTATCTTCATTCCTTCCTAATTTACACTTGGGCTGAATTAATGAGAATGATTTAATTAACACGGTGTGATCATGGTACCAGGGACAGGACAGCTTAGGGGGATTAGACCAAACAGTGGACTAAGCAGCTGCCATCCAGTCTCCTGTGGCCCCCGAAGCCCCACCCACATTTCCTGCTTCCCATTTGCCAGTGTTCCAAAAGTGGCCTCTGTTCCTTGCTCCACTCCCTGGATCTGTGTGAGGAAGGTAGCACCACTCTCCTTCCTCATGTTATTTGTGAGATGGCTTTCCAGGCTGTGCCCTGCGGAGGGGTCGGCTGCGCACCAGACTTATACTCTTCCCGGCCCCCAGTCAAGTGTTGGCTGGGAAGTGAACACCAGCTGGGGATGACATCCCCCATGTACTTAGGTCTTGTGATCCAGGCAAGGGAGGCAGGACAGACAGAGGGAAAAGCTGAGCTGATACACAGCCTCACCAGAGTCTCAGCTGACCCCATGGGGAGCTTCGGCAGAAATCAGCCCTGTTGGGCTGTCCTCAGTCCAGACAAGAAGGTAAGATTTTTTGAAGGTTACATCAACCAATTGCTGAAGGCAGACTGCCCAGGAAAGGGGCTGAGGCCGTGGTCAAAGGGTTACTGCCAAGGGGACGTATGAAGAGGGGTGATGGCCAAGTGCCTGCTTCCACCCGCACCCCCAGCCTGGAGGCAAGGGAGGTGGCCTTCATTTGAGAAGGAGAATCTGAAGGGCTCTGTGGTGGGTCCACCTCACCATCCACTCCAACACTAATCTTTAAACCTGGAAATGACACCTCGCTCTCTACCAGCTGTCCCTTCATTTCAAAAAGAGGTAGACTTCTTTTTAAATCTGTCTATTTATTAAAAAAAAAAAGGATTAATAACCCAGGTTGCCTAGATGTAAATACATAAATACACACATAAATATTTAAAGATAAATAAATGAAAAAAGGCAAGGATAAGGAGGTAAGGTTATCAATACAAGAATTTAACAGTAAAAGTTATTTTTCTCTCTGGGGGCAAATAAGTCTCAAGAGTTTCCTCCACTCTGGTCACATTCTGCAGCTATGCCTTCTTTTTTTTTTTTTTTTTTAAATAGAGGCATGTTTTATTTATTTATTTGTTTGTTTGTTTGTTTTTGTTCTGTTTATGCATGCACTGGGTACAGTCAGAAGCGCGGGAGGGTGAGAGAATTCACCAGAGCCAGAGCGGGGAACAGAGCAGGCAGAAGGACCGAAGTACACTGCTGAGGGGAGCCGGGGAGCAGCCGGGGATCGAACCGGCGCCGCAGAGGCCGCAGTCAGCATCGCAACCCAGCGCTCAACCGCTGTGCCACCGGGGAGGCCCAGCTATGGCTTCTTAACGGTGTGTGTTTACAGCTCTGCTATGCTAACCCTTCAGAATATTCCTAAAGTTGTATTAAAATTGGCAGGATCATATTTTTCAATCTCAGTGGCTTTCTATATCCATTTTATGTGCAACCACCTTTCATGTATTTTGTGAATTAAGTTGGATTACAGGGACTTTCTAATTTCAAATTCTGATTGTTCATTGCTGTGTATACGAATACAGTGGACTTTTGTGTTATGACTTTCAATGGAAAGTCTTGGGGGAAAGTATATTTTTGT